CTGAGACCGCTCGTGAGAAGCGGTTGCTTGAGCGATCGAGTGCTGGTGAGCTGTGTCTCTTTTTCAGGAGAAGCTTTGGTGTTCTTCATGCTCTCCGTATGCGCAGTGTGCGCACACCTGATTTTTATCATCGGTGAACTCCGGCAACTCAACCTCCGCAGCCGACACCTGCGGCCAGGTTCTGCGTGGGGGAGTTGGAGGGTCGCGCATGAGAGCCCGTGTGCTGCGCAGCACCGGTGCATCTCGCCTCTGTTCTTATTTCAGCTTTCTTGGGAGGGAGAAGGAAACAAACGTTAACGATTTTGACTTTTTGGCTTGATTTGGATGCTGAGCCAGCGCAGGCTTGGCTGACAGGCTGAGGAGCAGGACGGAGGAGTCCTGGTTTAAGTAGGTGCAAAGTGCCGAGACCTTCCTGTGATGTTTTGGTCAATGAAAAACTGGACGTGAGCCAGCAATGTGCACTTGCAGCCCAAAAAGCCAACCATATCATGGGCTGCCTCACCCGCAGCGGGGCGAGGGGGGGATTCTGCCCCTCTGCTCCGCTCTGGGGAGACCCCTCCGGAGCCCTGCATCCAGCTCGGGGGTCCTCAGCACGGGAAGGACATGGGGCTGCGGGAGCGGGGCCAGGGGAGGCCACTGAAATGCTCCGAGGGTGGCCCAGCTCTGCTGTGGGGACAGGCTGAGAGCTGGGGGTGCTCAGCCTGGAGAGGAGGAGGCTGCGGGGAGACCTCACTGCCGCCTCTCAGTGCTTATAAGAAAGATGGGGACAGGCTTTTTAGCAGGGCCAGTAGCGACAGGACAAGGGGGGATGGTTTTAACTAAAAGAGGGTGGATTCAGACTGGACAGAAGGAAGAAATTTTTCACGCTGAGGGTGGCGAGACGCTGGCCCAGGTGCCCAGAGAGGCGGTGGGTGCCCCATCCCTGGACACATCCAAGGCCAGGCTGGAGGGGGCTCCGAGCAGCCCCGTCTGGGTGAAGACGTTTGGTCTTTGAGGGTCCCTTCCCACCCAAACCCCTCTACGACGCTATAAAATACCCACCACGACAGCGCTGTCAAAACCCCGGTGACGAGATTCAAATTCACCCCAGCGAAATGGGGAAAGGAGCAGGGAACCGTTCCGGTGCCTGCGTTCCCCTGATCCGAAGGGCGTTAACCCCCCGCCCCGACCACGGGCGGTTACGGGACGCTGCTTCTTTGAAGCGGGCGCGGAGGGGAAGCGACCTGCGCGCAGCGCTTACCCTCTGCTCTGCGACTCTGCCGGCGACGCGGAATCCCTCAACAGCTCGTGGCCTCTGCCCGCGTTCTCCTCTTCGCTCTTTTAGCATCCACAGCTGTCGCGTTCCTCAGTAAGCGAAAGAAGAGGTTTATAGTTCAGTAATTAACATAAATGTGTCCTTTTTCCCCCCTTTCTAAGCTTTAAGGCAGTTACGCGCGGCTGCTTTTCACATTTCTGAGCTTCGGAAATGAATTTGGGTCGTTCTAGAAAAGCTCGGACCCGAGGGCGATCGTTTCTCTCGCGCCGTCGGTCAGGAGCTGATCTGAACCTCAACCAGCGAAAAGGGGCGACGCCGACAGGAAACCTCCCGCTCGCGACTCCAATACCGCTAGCTGAAGAATCCGGGAATCCTCGGATATCAGAGCAGCCCCCCTGTAATCCCCTCCTTCCTGGCCATCTCTGCCCTCCTGCAGGCTCCCAGCAGGGAGCGTAGGGAAGCAAATCCCTACGTGCAGGGAACGCGACGTTACGGCGGCCAGAGATCCTCCGTTGCACGCAGGGGTGGTTTTGTTTCTGAATAAAGGGAAGCATTTCGTTCGTCTCAGAGGTTAACACCCCTCGACTTCCATCGCTTACCTACCCGGGGGAGCCAAAACCCAACCTCAGGCCTGCCGCCAAACCCCCCTTCTCGCAGCGAAGAATCAGAGCACTAAAAGCAAACTGATCTGTATGTATTGTATCCAAAATTTATTGACAGCAAGATGGCTGGGGCTACAGGGACAGAACCCAAGTCACGTTTGTGGTCGGCCTTCCGTGGAGACCCGCGGGGGTCAGGCCCGGACACGCAGCTCGGCGGCGGCAGCCCCTGCTCTCGCGCTCTCTGCGGCCATCTGTGCGAGTAGTCCCATCCATCCCCCGCTCCCTTCGCTTAATGCTGCTTTCGTCTGAAGGAGCAGCCTAAGGAAGGGAAAAAATATAGGTAGAGCAGTCAGCAACACTGCGGCCTCTTTACATCCCGTCTGTACAGGGATTTCCTTCCCTCACCGGCCGAAATTCAGCACTTTTTCCCTTGCTTTAAGAGGAAAGCGCCACCCCAGTTCTGAAAATGCCCGTAACAGAGCGGCTTTTATCACCTTCCAGCCCAGAAGCATCTCCACAAGCCGCCCCGGGACCCAAGCCCGCCCCGGGAGCCCCCCGAGGAGGCGGCGGGGGCCGTAAGCCGCCCCCCGGCCCCGCTACCCACCTTCTGTCAGCCTCGCCTTGCCCCCCGTGGGCTGGCACAGCACGGTCGAGCAACCCACGCACAACACGACGGTCTGAGCGTGGCTAAACACCGTAGTGATCTTGTAGCAACCTGCCGGGAAGGGGAAGGCTCTGAGGGGGGCGCGGGGGGCCACCGGGACCGGTTGCCCCCCCCATCACCCGAGTCCTCCCG